AAAAAATGCACTGTAAGAAAACCTTCGCATTCCTCAGCTTTTACTGCAACTTAGTGTAACCCGTCTCAACAATCTTAATAGTTCCGCGCTGACGATTTTCACAAATTTTTTAACATGAAAAGTCAAATATAACACGAAATAATGATACCTGGGGTGGAGAAGTCGTCCATCTCGTCGTTGAATACAACACCCAATTTAACAGACTGCACCACTGCCCCGAACCTAAAACATTAAAGTGCATCATAGTATCTAATGAGAAAATATGCCAGAGAGACGGTTAGGGCATCAATGCATTTACGCAACGCCGGAACTTTACACAGAAAGTTCGAACAATTGCAGTGACTTAGATTCGATCGCTGCGACGTAGCTTGTAATGCATTCGTTTTCTGTTAAAATCCAGGCAGGGAACCTATCTTAGCAGAGAGAATGCCAGAGCTGCATAGCACTTTGATATGATATTGGTGGTGACCAGTTTTGCCAAATGCCTCGAAAATCTCAACCAACATTCTCCTTCAAAAGACTGGACGAGGAAATCAACGCTTAACTGATACGTTAACAACAGCGATCTCATTCAGCAAGCTGTCGAATGCCACTGTTTTTCTTGAAAAATCAAATACCAGATTGCTTGAGATGAAGGAATTAATTTTGTGTTTCAGAAATCACAATAGTACTTGCCATCGGTTGACAGTTGTGGTAGATGATACTCCATTTCCATTCGAATCTAGAGCCGCTACGTGCGATGTGCCATGATCATCCATCTGTAATTTTTTTCGAGAATCATGAAAATAACCATGATTGCCCGGACTGAACAGTTTGCCAGCTAACGCGCTGCTTCGACCAGAGGGCATCAGCAACATACCTGCCCTTGCATTCCCCCGTAGTATTCGGTTGCCTGTGCCCTGTTACGCATTCTAGAAAACACCCAGCTTGTATATTCTTTCGTTGTCATATTTTCAGCCAGTTTCTTTGCCTCTTTCACATATGCTTCATCACCTGAATAAATGCAGTATTATACTGAGAAATTCATTAACAATGATTTCCTCGCTTCGTTTGCATACTACTTAGTAGGGTAAGACATCCCTTTTCACCTGATTATTTCTTAATATGTCTTTTATATACATATATCTTTTTTTACTACGTCGTATCCTAGGAAGAATTAAGTAAATATTCTATAAAAAAAGAAGTATATTAA